ATTCCGTTAATTTAAGAATTTGAATTGTAACGTAAATTTCTACTACGCAGTTTATTTGAATAACTTCACAACAACAACTACTGTATAGATTTTTCTACATCCTTCCATTTCCTCTTTCATTTTCTATTTTGTTGCTGACGTACAATTCTTGTTAAACGTCATCATTGATGATCGCTTAATTCCTCTTTCTTTGTTACCCCCTCGCCTGTGTATGTGTTGTTGTTATTGTTCACTCAATGTAAGTTTGTATGTGTTGTTGTTATTGTTCACTCAATGTAAGTTTGTATGTGTTCGTTGCATTGGTAGATTGTTCGTAATCTAGGCGTTACCAGATCGTCTAGAAACTTCTGTAGCGACAGGCGAGGCTCATATAAATAGGGGAAATGGAAAGGCAGTTAGTCAGTTGTGAATCAGATCGCGAATTGAAACCGTCGAGTAAAGTAAAGTGCAAAGTAAAGTTGTGTGAATAAAATCATTGTAATAATCGTAATCCGAAAGAACCCGCGTTTTATTTGGTACGAGCTGTACTGGGAAATAAAACAACGTCTACACGGGATTAAGTAAAATCCAAGAACGTAACAATATTTTGTGTATTGTTTTAAATAAAAAATACAATCATTTGAAATTATTTTAAATTCGGTTGCAACATAAAAGCATAGTTTCGACGTAAATGGGAAACACTGTATTGCCCTGCCATTTTAGATTCAATTTTGTGGAATAACTCCAAAATTCCATTCTTGTTTCCCCAATACAAACATTTTGTAAAAAAATTAAAAATAAACAAAACCAACTGTTGCATATTTAAAAGTCTATTTGACACTATAAGACTCCAGCACAGAGTGGCATTTTTCTAGTTTATTTGAAGTTGAGCGACCTTCCTTATTGAGCCATGGGTAACTGTATTAATTGAAAATAAATAAATAAAAAAATAAACAGACGTCTCTATTCGGCGGCATTGTTTTGAAATTTTCGGGCGTCTACGTCACAAAAGTAAATTTTAGTACTGTCTGTCTTTTGTCAAATCTGGGTAAGATCTTGCATGGTGTAGCTCTCTAAATACTTGAATCTGACTTTCGCTGTCCTCTCAGCCCGGCGAATGCTAGAGTCGCTTGTAAACCAATTTAACCTTTAAGTATGCCTGTTAATTTACCTAATTTTAGTTTGCCAATTCCTTAGATAGTGTGACAAATAAATAACTTTTCTTAAAAGTAAATTTAGAGCCGAAAACAGGGACCCACAAATTTTTACTTTCAACCCGTTAGTTCATTTTTATTTTCGTTAGTTTTAATTTAGGAAACATTAGGTGTGTCTGGTTACAAATTGTTGTTGAAAGTCGTCTGTTAACCTGAGACTTCTGCAAAAGAGAGCGGTCGGAGAGAGAAATTTTGACAGTTCTTTCAGTGAGAGGTTGCAAACTCTTGCTGGACAAATTTCTACATTCAATTAGGTGTTTTTTTATTGTTTGTTTATTTATTTTTGTGCTTTGAATTTAAAAATATTTTTGTGGGATTAGCAAGACTAATCGTTTTTGGAGAACCACGTTACAAAATGTGAAAAATGTGAAAAACGTAAATATTAAAATGTAATAATAAAATAAAAGACTATTTTCAATATTTTTAGACAAACGCCATTAGCAACACGTTTAAAGGATTCCGGGGAACACATCAAATTTATCTTTCTTTTATTGCACATATTTTTATTTTATTGCTAATTTCCATTTGTTTACTTCTCGTATTTTCCATGCAAAAGAGAATAAAACTACCTTACTCTCTCAGAAAGATGTTGCTGGACAATTCCTGCAGGAAAAGTAACCAGACACACCTAATACTAGTACCAAAATCTACGATGCCATACAAAAAATTTAAATCTAGACACATGCTACTTATAGGTTCACCTAGAATATAGGTAGATGCATCAACGCTTGAGAACATTGATATGTCAAACATTTTAAAATGTTTTATCAAAAATAAGTATATTTTTAAATGTTTTCTTATACGACGCAAATTGGTGGTTGTTATTATATGAATTTTTAAAAAAATTCAATTCCAAAATCGGTTTGACAGTTCATTGTCCCAGCAGCTGTGTCGATGCGACTACCTGTATGGGTTTCACCCATATTGAACTGAACTATTAGTTCAGTGTTTGAAAACTGATAAAACCTGCTTAATCTAAATGGGATATTAATTCTTAAAAAAGAAATAAGCGAGTCCGAAGGCACACTACCATTTAAGATTTTAAATGCCATTATGGTATTGAACAAAATACGTCTACTTTTCTGTTAGTATAGGGCGGTATTGCAAAGCCACTGTTCCAATGAAAATCTCTCAGCACAAAACGCACAAATTGTTTTTGCACCGATTCAATTTTGTGAAAGTAGATGGCATAATTAGGGTCCCATACAACTTAAGCATATTCTAGTATTGCCCGAACAAGTGATACAAATAATTGATTGGATCAGAGAATTCTTTAGCCCACCTTTTTATGAATCCTAAAACACCATTTGTTTTATTAACCATTGATATAATATAATAATTAATATATTTTACTGTAACACTAACTGTGAATGTTTTATTGAAGTCGGCAAATCGTTTACATATATAAAAGAAAAAGGACCGGTCCCAGATGACTGTTTTGTGGAACACCCGATGACATTTTAAAAGATTTAGATTGACAACCTTCTAATAAAACTAATTGTGTCCTATCTATTAAATAGGAGGCTATCCACGACAATAACATATTACTGAAGCTGATTTAGTTTATATAGTAAAAGTTGGTGTTTGGGACGATCAAACGCTTTACTAAAATCTGTGAAGATTGTATCAGTTTGCATGCCATTGATAAATCCCATTACAGCTCGTCCGAAAACCATGTTGGTAAGGACATAAAATAAGCTCAACTTTATGTGAAATTATATCATTTATTAATTTTTCGAATAGCTTTGGAATTGCACTTAATTTTGCAATTCCCCTATAAATGGGGTGGGTTAGATAAACTACCTGATTTATGTAAAGTAATTAAGTAAGATTTCTTTCAGAGAAAGAGCGGGAAGGTATGCAAATGTTAAAAAAATATTAAACAATAGTGTTAGTGGGGTAGGCTAAGGCGGTAAAGCAAAATTTTAGTATAATGCTAAGAATGCCATCTTTATTGATTTTAACCTACGCAAGCCATCAGATATATCTGTATCAAGAAAATATCGAAAATTTACTTGATCAAGTCGAAATAAGTGATATGGATAGTGATCAAGTGGTTGAAAACCTGAGCGATTTTGCTATGATTAACATAATCTCCGTTTTTGAATTTTAAAACATTAGGTTTAGTGGAAGTCTTCCTTTTTAAATTTACAAATTCATAAAATGAGGTAATCGAGGTTATCTGTGTACAGTCTACGAGACTCTAGAGTGTACTTAGACCCGATTTTTATACCCTCCACCACACTATGAAGGGTATATTAACTTTGTCATTCCGTTTGTAACTCCTCGAAATACTCATGTCAGACCCAACAAAGTATATATATTCTTGATCAGCGTTAAATTTTAAGTCGATTTATATATATATATATATATATATATATATATATATATATATATATATATATATATATATATATATATATATATATATATATATATATATATATATATATATATATATATATATATATAATATATAATATATATGATTATCTTCGGGAGTTCATACTGGAGATTCTAAATAAATCCTAATATTGCGCGGTGTTAACATATGGAAGAAAACTCGAAATATTTTTCGGTTTTAAACCACTATTGATTTTGCAAGTGAAATTGTATTTTTATGGGAACTTGCAACCATGGTAGAATGAAGGAGGTAAGGCCATGCAATCATATGTTTACACTTTTTTTCAAAATTATTCATTTGACAACATCTCATTGTAAAAATTTTTATTTACAAATCCATTGTACATACACAAATCAGAAATGGGAGATGTAGTGAAATGTGACAAGGTAAATTACAGAAAATGCAGAGAAATGGATAGGCTTATTTGAAATGACTTTACCTTCTTAATTTTACTATGCTTGCAACTTTAAAAATGTCGCTTTAATAACAAATACACATTTACATGTCACATCGGAATGGTTTGAATTCCGTAATTCAAAATCGATAGTTTTTGTTTTAGATTCCTCAGTTTCCGATCGATTTAGTAAACTAAGCAAATCTCATTACTTAATGTAAATTTGGCAACATTAGAGGAATGAAAGAACGTATCATGGTCGAATTAATAAGGTAAAGTCATGCGATCATATTTTTACAACTTTTTGAAAATTATTCATTTGGCAACCTCTCATTGTCAAAATGTACATATGTAAATCCATTGTATACACAGAAATCAGAGATGGGAACCTCTTTTCATGGATTCTATCACGGATTCAATGTTGTGGAGAAAACCCAATATTCCGTTCATGTTTTCCCCAATACTGTAATTTGTGAAAAATGTTAAATAAACAAAACCAATTTTTGCATGTTGAAGTGTCTATTTTATAAGAGTCCGCAACAGTGTTGCATTTCCCTCGTTTCTTTGAAGTTAAGCAACTTTTCTTATTAAGCCATGGTATGAATGAGGAATCAAAACATGCCACATGATTCAAAACTGAGAAGTGGAATTTGTGAAAATTATTCTGTTTAAGTTTTTTGTACGAAAAGTAAATTTTGTAGTGTGAACATTTAATAACAATCTTAGTTTTAACTTATAAATAAATTCCTTCTGAATTATTAAAATGTTATTTATAACTCCAAAATACTTACAATTTTGCACATTATGCCTTTTTTTTGAGTTTCTTTATTTTGTTTTTTCATTTCATTTATTTCATACAATTCAATATAAATAAGCCAACATGGCCAAAATCTTATTTTAACATACAACAGTATAAAAACAGACTTTAACCAAATTAATCTAAAAAAACTAAATAAATAACAACAATTATCAACAAATAGTAATATACATACAAAAAATTAATAATAATTTAAATTTAGACCCTCAGACACAACTCCTCTACCAAGCTGAACAACAGTTTAGCAAGGTAGAGAGGAAAAAGGCAAGAGGCATCAATACACTTAAGCGCTAATCATCACTCGTTTCCAACCGAGCGAATGTAGTTACTACAAGTATAGGAAAAAAATTCTTAAAAAGAGAAAAAAAAAACAATAAAATTATGTACTACATGGAAAATAAACAACCATAAAAATGGCCCCCAGCCAATAACTAAAAAGAAATAACAAAAAATAACCCACAACCAGAAACCCAATGAACAGACAAATATTCAAAACATATCAAAACAACAGGTAATATTACTCAGGGTCAGAGGGAGCTGATTCCACAATCTCGCAACTCTCACAACAAACGGCTTCTCACCAACTACAGACGAAAATCTTGGAAACAGCAATTGCGGATTTCGAGATGATCTACAAAACACAAACTTATTATATAAAGGAGAATTAACATTCCTCATAATTCTGTAATGACACAAAAGCAGGCGATATTCAACATATCTGTCAAAGGACAGTCCAAGAAACTTAATAACATACTGTGTTACACGATCACTACGGCGCAACCCAAACACATATCTAACAATAGAGTTAACAAGTTTGCGTACGCGCAGAATTAGGCAAGCATTCGCCCCAGAGATGACTTCCAAACAATAGTTGACATGAGACATTAATAAAGATCTGGCAGCCATCATCCTAACACTAAGAGGCAAATGAGCTGGAAGACTAAATAGCCTCCGCATCTGAAAACGCACACGAGACAGCAAAGAATCAACATGCGCTGAAAAATTTAGCTTGGTGTCAATGACTACACCTAAACATCTCATCTCATCCACAACATTAACCACAAAGGAGCCAACACGGATGCATGGCGTAGGAACATAACGAGGACTATTAAACAGAACAGCTTCAGTTTTATTCCAATTTACAGACAAACCATTAGAGGAGATCCACATAGAAAGCAATCCCAAAGTAGTGTTTGCCACATTTTCCAACTCAAAGAGATCTGCACTTCTAAAGAAGACATGAATGTCATCCGCATACATAAAAACTTCACAACTGGAATTAGACACAGACCCCACAACGTCGTTAATGAACATAATAAAAGCAGAGGGCCAAGCACAGATCCTTGTGGGACACCACACCGCACAGCACAAACATCAGACTGAACACCCCTGTGCACAACAAACTGAGATCTTCCACTCAAATACGACGATATCAATCTATCTTTGCTTAATTTATCATTCGTAAGGCCAGATTGCTTAGTTTTAACAAATAAATAATTTTTGAAGAAAAAAAGCGATTTTCAAGAAAAAATGATGCAGCAATACTTAGTTTACAATTGGGAAACAATTTACATTTGCTAATCATTTTAAATAAAAAGATACAAAAAATACAATTTCACTTGCAAAATCCAAAATGGTTTGAAACCAAAATGGCAGAAGCTAAATACGGAATTGAGGCACTTTCGTTTGGAATTCGTTCCTGTGACATGCCTGCATATTCATAACAAGGAAATGAAACATTTTATTCGCAAGCCAATATGTTTATTTGGTTAAATATTTCTTTGGAATAATCTTGCGTACATTTTTTTACAATCGAAGAATATGAAAATATTTATAACATTATATATTAAATAATTTAAGTTTGTTATAGCGGGAAACACGTCCATGAAAGTGTTGATTATATCGTCTGAAAATAAAAATAACGTTAATATATTGGGCTAAAAATTAATTATTACACATAAATCACGAAATTTATGATCAGATTTTTAAGACATAAGATAAATCGTTCACTAAGTTTCAGATGTCCCTATCAAAATTTTCATCATTACCAGGGCGAAAATAGCATACAGCCATTCTTGTTTAGAAAAAATATATTTTTTGTGTCGCACAGAGATCTCACTCACCTTGTGTTATATACATCAAGTCCAACACCAACACATTTCCACTTTGCATTTCTACGATCCAACGATTTGAATGCCAAGATTAAATCATGTTCGTGTGCCATCTTCAATCAACTACCTGAAACTAAGAAATTGATCAGTTTCAGTTGCATAATAATTAGTCAAAAATAGAGTAATAAAAAAAGAAATCAGAAGTTTTGTAAACATGATAAATCTGTCATTGTTAATCAGATGTCCCTATCAAATTTTTCATCACAAATCTCTAAATATATTTGCATTGCCGTAAAAACCTACCTCGTCCGATTTTGAGAAAAATTTTTACATCATCCCTTCCAGATCCATCCATCTGAAACGAAGAAATTTATGTCAATCTTCTTTTCAACGTTATCCATGAATAATGAATATACATTTTTGAGCACGTTATTCAGAATTTTATTAGAATATATGATAAATCTATCACGATAAATCAGATGTCCCTATCAGCAGTATCATCAAACAATGTGTACATATTGTGTTATGGGTTATATGGTTACATGACTTACATTATTTTATTTATTTTGCATATTATTAATTCAGGCCCAACAGTGTAATCGTCCAAGCATTCCTACGAAAAAAGTTAATTTTTGTTAGAACATTGTAATTGAAGCAATAATTTTAAATTGCAGCTGAGGATATCAGAAATAGTGGAACTATGATAAATCAGTCATGGTATATCAGATGTCCCTATCAAGCTTATCATCAAAGCACTTATAAACAATTCACTGCTACGAGTTAGAAATCTTACCCTGCCTTCCCACGACAAGCGCATTTGAGATGTGTTAAACAAATTTTTTATGTCCCTACGGTAAGCAACAGTTCCGACTTTTACTCAGCCCATTTTGGAACAAGAGTTGGTCTTTTCCAAGAAAATTTTTATTCAGCAAATTACCAATATTCCTGCTATTTTATAGCAATTCCTTGTCATGGAATTCCACCGGGACTACATTCTAAAAAAAAAGAAAATACATTTGAGACGTTGCTTATCTTATGTAGATCACAAATTAATTAAATTATCATTCAGATTTTTGGAACAATGATAAATCGTCATTGTATATCAGATGTCCCTATCAAAGTTATCATCAATAAATACATTTTTTTAAACACTCCTTGATTTGCTTTAAATTGTCTTACCATTTCCTCCATCGTTTAAAAAATTTAAAAAGCGTGTGAAAAAACACTTTAGCTTCATTTTTAATAAACGTAGCAAAGCACGTCCATAAATGTTATAAATGTAGAGAACGACATTAAATAAAACACGTGCCCGTTAGGAACTCGCAAGTCGACTATCGAATTTATAGTAAAAAAAACGAGACGATTAATCGATAATTTGCTGTCGACTTTTCTGTGATTTGATTTATAAAACTTGCTAGAAAATATTGAGGGTGGAAATACATAATGTGCATATTTGACTGGCTTAAGTCATCGGCTGGCTTCTTCGTAGATGAACAAAGGAGTTTAAGGACGTAGTTCGATTTTGGGCCTAGGCTCCTTTGTTAATTTCCGAAGAAGTCACCCGATAACTTAAGCCAGCCAGATAAACGCTTTATATATTCCCACCCTAACAGTACGTTTATATATATGAGGGTTAACCAACTGGATTTGGATTTAAATTGTCATATCCAATACTTTTACTTCAAATAAATCCTCTCAAAGTAGGTTAACCCTACAAAAAGTTCTAACGTAAACATGGCATAACATTTGTGACGTTTATATCAACTATTATATGAGAATTTTGTGTTTCAAAGTTACCGATTTATGGTTGTTATAAACGTAAGTATGGCATGATGTGATGCCACGTTCCTTATGTACAACCTCCTTTATCGCGGTGAACCTCATAGTGGTGTATTTACTGAATTCAGAAAATTCGTCATATGTACATAAAGAGGTAGAAGGTTTTTTTTACTGTTTTAAAGATGAGACACGCTTTTCTGAATGGCTTAAGGTGTGGGTACATAAGCAGCTTAAAGTCTTTGCATGACATGTTTTGTGACATATTATAAAGGGATTCCAGAGCCACACTTGAATCCTGCCGTCGTTTCCCCTTATAATTTTACTTTAATATGTCCAGCCATGATGCTAAGCTGCTTATGTACCTTCACTTTTAAGTCATCGGCTGGCTTCTTCGTAAACGAACAAAGGAGGGAAATTTTGGCTCCTAATTGGTACTTGTTTGCCGCACATTCCTTTGTTGTTTTACACACAATCCAGCCGATGACTTAAGCCAGTAAATAACTTGGTTCATGTGTTCTCGCTTTAAGGCGAGAATTCATGTAAAAGATACAACATCTCGCAACATTATTTATTTAAACTCACGTTCGAAATGATATGAAATACGTGCAAAACACTTTTTATGTTGTTCAACGTGTGTATATGTTTATCAACACGTAGTGCCAGAAATTGAAATTTTATTACGGATGGAAATGAAATCACATAGTCAAACTATTTTTCTTTCGAGTAAATTTTTATATGTTGACATGATATATGACATGTATTTTTCAACAATTTTTTCAAATTGCAATACTTTTTCATTCAAGATTTTCAATTCCAAAATCGGTTTGACAGTTCATTGTCCCAGCAGCTGTGTCGATGCAACTACCTGTATTCTTCTACCATGCTTAGTTCAACTTCAACTTATTCACCATACGCTCCATTGTTCTATTAAGAAGAAGCTAGCCGATGATTTAATGCGGCACAAAAAACTTTTTCTATGTGTTCCCCAAGGTAGATCTACCTTGGTGTTCCCTCTTTAAGTTTGTTGTTAAAAGTAGTAGTTATGCCCCATTTTATATCCACCTTAAATTAGTTCGATTTCAAAAATGTACAAAATGAAATTTGGATTACTGAATTGAAAATACGAAATGCATTTCCCAAAATGTTTAAAAAAAAACTTTCATATCATTCCCTTGAATGCATAGTTTTTGGCTGTAGGTGCAAATCTTGCAACACTTCAAGGAATTACTAGAAAATCCTGAAAAAACAACATCCCTTTCAAATTAAAATCAAAATATACATATTCATTAGAAAACATAAAAATACGACTATATCAACAAATTCGGTGTCGCTTTATTACCACGTTCTGTAAAATATAACAAGGATTTTTGCTATTATCAGAAAACAATTGCCCTGACCGGAAATTTTATAGTGGAAAAAGTGTAAAAATAATTTATACCCAAAAAGGGTAAAACACGTAATGTCGTATAGAATTTGACACTAATGCTCTGCTCCAGAACCTCCAAGAATCTACAATTTTTTGATATTAAAATAGGGAGATCGGCTATTGTTGCAACTCCAGGGTTTAGAAAACACTCACATAAATGTTTTCCAAAACAGCCTTGCGGTTGTGGTTTGTATTTCATTTCATTATATTTATATACCATCAACCTTGAAAAGGAGGGCATTTTAACTTTGTCTTTCCGGTTGTAACAGCCCTAATTATTCGTCGTAGACTCCACAAAGTATATAAGTGAGAGCGTGGTACAATGAATTCAAGGTAGGGCAGAACTACCATATGATTTTAATTTTTTTATTTTTCTGGCTTAATATGTCAACTTCATTTGTTTATGTGTGTGTATTCTTTTCAATAATAAAAAAATTGTTCAGAAAACATTCAAATTCGGGTGTTTTCAAAATGCTTATTACTCTTTAACATGATTTTTGATTTGATTTTTCGGTTTACAATTATTTATTCAAAATCAATGCAACAAGTTGTTTAGTTTGGTTTTGATTGGTCATTTGGTTTTTGACTCTGACATGGCAAACTAAACAGGTAGACCTCTATACTTGCAATTTTTTTATTTTCATGTCTTAATATGTCAACTTAATTTGTTTATTTGTGGGCATTCTTTTCAATATTAAAAAAAATTGTCCAGAAAGTATTCAAATTCGGGTGTTTTCAAAATGCTTATGCTTGTAAACAATATAATGAGCTGTCACTGGAATAAAACAGCTGTCGGACGAGCGGCTTTGAATGACAGCAGTCTGAGATTGGTTGCAGTTTTTTCATCTCACCCTGTATATATTCATAATCAGCATCAAATTCAAGTCAAGTCAATTTAAAGATGTCCGTCTGTTTGTCGAAATCACGATACAGTGCACATTATTTGACGTATAGCTTCAAAACACAACAATTTATATTGTGCCTAGGATGGTTGGCATTGAAAATGAGATATATCGGTCCAAGTGAAATTTGTAGTTCGTAATGGGTTCCAGCTCCGGTGGTGGAACATTGTACATATAAGTCCACGTTTTCGTATAGCCCCCATATGACGGTACCTCCCGATATTCGATATTTTCAATATTTTTGCAACATTTTCCATGGATTTGTGTAAAAAGTGGTATTTGTAGTTCATAATGGGTTCTAGCTCTGGTGACAGAACATTAAATGTCTAGGTTCACGTTTTCACATGGCGCACATGTAGCGGTACCCACTGATATTCTGTATTGATAATCCTATTCACATTAACCTACGTGTACGCGGAATAATTGTATGCACCGTTTTACTATTGTTACTACACTGTTTTTATTCATTTAAAATAATTCTTAAGTTCTACTTATGATAATTTTTCTTAACCTAGTCTAGCATAAAGTGTAAGAGAGAGAGAGAGAGAGAGAGAGAAATAGAGAGATGCAAATCTACACATGCCTGTGCACCATGCCGCCATAAATTCTAGGGGAGGTCATAAAATATGCGTAGCTATCTCACTTGTGGCAAGCAAACATGCTGCACTTCCTTATCAGTATGAGTTAAGAAGACATCCCATAATCTAACTCCACCATAACACATGCAGCAATTGAAAATTCTGTATTATTTATTCCTAACTCGAAGGTCTGCTCACCACATTTTCTTATCTTATTTAATGTGGACTGTATTAAGAAGATCCCAGTTTAACAAATCCCTCTCATCTACACTAGGTAGCCCCGCTATTCTCTTTTATTATAAAAACATGTTCACTTATCCGTGAACACTACGAAATTGTTTCAAGTTTGGTACTTAAGACTCGCAATAGATAACAATTCTCGTATTATAAAATTGTCTAAATTGGTTCCGGTTCTTGTATGGCGCCCACGGCCCAACCAATTTATTGGATTTTTGAAAAGTTTAACTAAATTATCTAAACGGCCTTACTGATTTAAAATGAAACGCGTTTGAATTCATATAAAAATGTTTTCTTTACCCAATCGTCGAGGGTATTTAAGGTTCGGTCCGCCTCTTCTACAAAGAAGCCAGTCAAAAAAAAAAAAACGTTTTATGTACCCTCACCTTCAATGTGTTTTACTTGTGTTCACATGCTGGTAGAGAAATATAGTTATTGTCATGGTACAATCAAGGAGGTAAAGTCATGCAAAAAAAAAAACCTCAACCAACTTCAGACTGCTGTCATTTCTAAGCCTCTCGTCCGACAGGTGTTAAAAATATTCCAGTGACAGCTCATTATATTGTTACGTTCATGGATTTTACTTAATCCCGTGTAGACGTTGTTTTATTTCCCAATACAGCTCGTACCAAATAAAACGCGGGTTCTTTCGGATTACGATTATTACAATGATTTTATTCACACAACTTTACTTTGCACTTTACTTTACTCGACGGTTTCAATTCGCGATCTGATTCACAACTGACTAACTGCCTTTCCATTTCCCCTATTTATATGAGCCTCGCCTGTCGCTACAGAAGTTTCTAGACGATCTGGTAACGCCTAGATTGCGAACAATCTACCAATGCAACGAACACATACAAACTTACATTGAGTGAACAATAACAACAACACATTAAGCGATCATCAATGATGACGTTTAACAAGAATTGTACGTCAGCAACAAAATAGAAAATGAAAGAGGAAATGGAAGGATGTAGAAAAAATCTATACAGTAGTTGTTGTTGTGAAGTTATTCAAATAAACTGCGTAGTAGAAATTTACGTTACAATTCAAATTCTTAAATTAACGGAATTCATCTAAATTAACTTAAATCTAAAGTTATATTCGTAACATTGCCCCCCGCTTAAGCCTGTTCGTCCCGAATAGGCACAGTTCCCGTTCCGTAGGGGGTCAGCCGCTCCAAATGTACAACTTTCATCTTCGACCTGGGACTGTCGCTCCTCTGGATGCGATAAACGACGTCATTTATTTTCGTGACAATCTTGTAGGGTCCTTCCCAGTGCGTTTGTAATTTGGGGCATAGTCCTTTCTTTCGTTGTGGGTTGAACAATAGTACCAGTTGCCCTTCTTGAAACCCATCGGTATTTGCCACTCGATCGTACCTTGCCTTCATGCGGTTGCTAACCATTTTTAT